AATTGGACGTTGGTGAGGAGGAGAACGTCGTCGTTGGTCATTCTGTCAGTCAAAGGAATGCGTAGCATACTTCGCAGAAACCACATTTCCGCTGTTTCCAGTCTAGTTTGCATCACTACGCTTATCATACATGCTTCGCACCCATATTGCAGAGTTGACCAAACATAGCATCATAAAACGCGCTTAGTGCTCACTGCGATACCCCTTGCCGTCAATACTTATATATACATAAGTATATATCTATATATACGTATAAATATGTATATATGTATTTATATATATATATATATATATATATATATATATATATATATATATATATATACATAAATGTAAATAAAACTTAAAAACCTCATCAATATAATATGTAGAAGTGAAAAGCTAGAGAAAATTTATTAAATGGGGTACACTCAAAGTCAGGGAATTGGGGGGTGTAAGCAAAACAAACAATATATATGTAGCGTCAGGTGTGCGCGAGAACCTTGCGGACGACCTGCGGTGGAGGCGACTCCAATTAGAGTTCCTTTTTAATTAAGGTAGATAGGTTTTCCCAGTGCATTACACACCATAGCCGCCACCACCCACTTAATTGTGTATATATACTTCTGTATATATACGCGTATATATACTTGCGTACGAATACAAGAGTATGTACAAAAAGACAGAACGTGGATGTGATTGTGGAGCGTGTATGACAGAACTGGTAAGCGTGTTTAAACCGAGAGGGAGGACGCGCAAGCGAGCACACCTCACACTCGCAGTCTCGACTATAGGGACGGTCAACGCGACGTCACGATTAGAGGTCACATGACCAACTGGTGGCTCTGGTAGGCACAAGAACAACATTCGCCATTGGCATCGCAGTGAAACTCAAGCGTTCTTGGTTATCTTCGTTTATTCTTCATATTTCGTAAATTTCCGATTTTTTTAATTCGAAAAGTTAGTTCTTCGCCTGTCGATCATCAAAATCGCTAATAGTTGCATTATCACTGGTCGTGCAAATCGTCAAGTAAAAGGCTCAAGCTTGAGTTTGTGTCGTTTAGCAGGAGACCCTGAACGAAGAAGACTTTGGCTAACAGCTGTTAGCCGCAAAGGCTACAACCCTCCTTTGGACAATGATGTAAGAGTATGTGGAATTAATTTTATCAAAGGTAAGTGTATATCTTCTTAAGCCGAATTTTAGAATTCTGAAGTATGAAGAAGTATACACTATTTAGACCTATGGACTTAACATTGTTGCCTATCTTGGATTTTGCAGGGTATAAGTGTAGTCTTGATTATGTTCAAACACTTAATGCGGGATAAGAAATGAAAGATTCATCAACTTCAGCATCAACCCAGGCTAGATATATAAGAGGATAAAAGAGAGATTTTTCAAAGATTTATGAGCACAAAAGTGAAAACGCAATTATTGAATCAATTTCATCATATTCGCCAGTTTCTAAGGATAATACATACGAGCTATTTCAAACTACAGAAAGTTTTACAACAGATTATAATGCTGTTATTACAGAAGGTACACATCACGAGCATTGTTTGTCAGAAAAGCAGACATTAGTCCAAAAAGACTGGTATATAATTATAATCTGGCCTAGCAGAATATAACCTAATACTGTAAGGCAGCGAGACCTTGAATTGTAATATATACCTTAAGGCTTAGAATTCGAATATTCACAAAAAAACATCATGAAACTTAAAATGCATACTTACTTGTAGGCACCAAGAGATTTTTAGGCCTTCAATTCTTCACTGGTATAACGTCCGGGTGTATGTATGAGGTATATATAAATGTCTCCTAAAGTTATGTCAGCCTAGCCACTTGGGCTTTCAGACCAACCATTAGTAAATACATATTTGGTAAACTCTTAGTATCCTTTGAAATCTTCAGATTCACGTCATAACGCTTTTTAGCGACATAATTAAGAGATTTTTAGCATAGCGACATAGTTTTCTCTGCAGATTAAGCGGCCATTGCTGCTCTTTTGCCAACGAGCGCGATGCTCATGCGAGAAAAAAATATTGTTTTTGTTTTAGTGACCGCTCCTACACTCGGGAGTTATTAGGAAGCTCTTAATTCACAATTCGATTTCCCTTCCATTGACTTTCATTTCTCACTTTTCTGTTATTTTCTGCTAACCTCTATACCTCCCAGGTACGGGGGAACCACGACGACAAAACACGTAAACGAAGAATCACCATTATCGTGGTTTTCTCTTAATGCTTCGCCCAACAGAAGGTTTTTGTGGGCAACAGATAACAGTCTGTTTACGTAAAATCCCCCTTCAATCGTTCACAACATACGTTTGTATGATATTCCTCCGGTAACAGTCAAACTAGCGCCACCGTGCACAGGGCATTTATTGATCGGGCGCCCACTCGGTCAAATGACTTGTTTCCTCTTTATAGACTGGGCATGCATACCGGCTCTGTTTTTTTGGTAAAGAAATCCTCCGGTAGAGGAACCTCGTTTATCTGAATAATATGCTTTATTTTAGTGCCT